TGGTGGCTCAAGAGGGCACTCCAGCTGGTAACCGTTACATCCTGTAATAATAGTGCATATATTTAGTAAAATGTTCATTTATGGTCATTCAGTGGCTTCTGTGAGGTAAACGTGGCATTAAAAAGCTGTTTTATTGATCGCCGGTTGAAACGCTGATTGAACGATTACATGATGCAGTCGTACTGTATCTTTCACCATACATTCTGGTATAAAGACCTTTTCACAAGATGTAAAATAAATAAAATCTCTGATGTCCCTAGAGTGTGTATGTGAAGTTTTACCTCAAAATACACCACAGATGTTTTATATAGCATGTTAAAGTTGCCACTTGTTGAGGGTTAGCAAAAACCCTTTAAATGCAAATTAGCTGCAAAATTAAAAAATTGCTTTGAACTGTGATCGTTGTAACTTTGCAGGTGTTTTTTATCCTCAAACAGCAACATTACACACTAACTAAAGTGAAATCATGCTGTTGTTCTCTTGAACTGAGGCGCTACAGCGATCTGTCAGCGCCAAAATGCTATTTATTATTTGAATTCCATAAAAAAATGGACAGAATTGAAAATCTGCTACCTTTTTCATATCAAAACTAACAAAGCTCAAAGATTATTGCGATTTACCGGATGGGAGGCTTTCATTCATTTATCAACTGATAACAGACTAAATTAAGAATCGATTAAAATCAAGAAATCAATTTTTTTTTTTTTTTTTTTTTACCCAGCCCTAATTTTTATGTACATGCGTGTTCAGTAGTTTGGGGTCAGTACGATTTTTAAAGAAGAGTCTTATGTATTTATTTGAACAAAATATTTTGTATTGTAAGTAATATTGTATTGTTTATTTAAAATAACCATTCACCAGTTTAATATATTTTACAATTTTAATTTTTTATCAAGATTCAACATTTCTGATTATTATCGATGTTGAAAAGAGTTGTGCTGCTTCATATTTTTGTGGAAACTGATACTTTTTTTCAGGATTCTTTGATTTAATAGAAAGTTTTGCAAAGAATGCACATTTATTTAGAGTTGAAATAATTTACTGAATTACTGAATAAAATTATTCATTTCTTTAAAAAAAATCTTACTGACTCCAAACATTAGAACATTTATGTAAAACTTATATATATAAATATACACACACACACACAGAACTATATATTTTTGATAAAAATGCTTATTTTCTAAAGCAACCTAGTCCAAAACTTAATAAAGGATTCAATCTCCCAACATTATGAAGCTTCTCCATTGCGTGGAATGTTTTATGATTTCTCCGAAACATTTATCTTTTGTAAATACCATTATTACAATGTTTCCCATGTTAAAATCTAAAAAAAAAAAGATTACAGTAATGATACTACTACAACTAATGTTGAAATAACGATAAATGTACTGGTAATGACTAAATCATGATTAAAATTCATGTTTCCAATAAGATATGACTTAAAGGGGTGGTATAATGCACTTTTTCCAAACAGATGTAAAAATTAATGTCCCCAGAGTGTGTGTATGTGAAGTTTTAGCTCAAAATACCCCACGGATATTTTAATAAAGCGTGTTAAAATTGTCAATTTTTGAGGGTGAGCAAAAACGCACTGTTTTTGTGCCTGTCCCTTTAAATGCAAATGAGCTGCTGCTCCCGGCACAGGGGGCGGAGCTACAACAGTTTGTGTCCCTGTAGCTCACACAGACTTGCACTAAAATGTCAATGTTTATGTTCAGACAATGATATGACTCAAGAAGTGATTATTTTCTGAATGGTAGTTGATGAATCTATGTAGTATCTTCAAGTCATTGATAAGCATATTCTGTTATGATAGTCTATAAACCGCGGGGGCGGGGTTTATGTAAATTTTAGGGTTAGTGATGTCACTAACCTGGGAGGAATGCCGTGTAGTCCCTTACCAGTCGTTTGTTGTAGTCCTTAAAAAACAATTTCTTTTCGTTTGCTTTGAACTTTGAGCGTTGTAACTTTACACACCAGCAACATTACACACCAACTAAATAAAAAAAGTGAAATCATAATCAACTACCCCTTTAAGATCTATCAACTAAATCTGTGACCTGCAAATACTTTCTTGTTGTTTTAAACAAATATATTCACAGTAATACAGGTATAAACATTGAAAATATACAAAGACAGCCATTAGATGTGTCCACATGTCACAGATGCCTTCAGTAGAGCTTAAGCCGCCTTTGACCCAGAATACTCCTTCACGCACGCACGCAGTGATACCCGGCGGCTGACACAAGCGCTGTGATGTTTGTAAGGCTCTTTGTGCTGTGAACTAACACTTGCTGCGACCTCTAATGCAACAGCTCTGCTATCTCAGCCTCACTAATGTGCTGAAACCTGTCCCACTCTTTCTTTCTAAGGTTATTTTAGCAAAAATGACCTGACTTGTTTTTTTTTTTTCAGGGTTTCCATTTGTTGGGAAGTAACATCTGTAATATCCTACTTTCTTGAGCTCAACATGATGGCATCACGTCACTGTTCTATGAAACATTATTACTTGGTTCAGTGAACAGTATAATGTTGCTTGTCTGCAGCGCTTGATGGCAGTCAGGCCTTTATAAACATGATTTCATTTTATCAGCTTACGCAAATGTATAAAGATGTTTTTTTGATTGCATGTCATAGTTGTCATTCTGTTATGGAATATATTCTCGCACAGTAAATTCCAATATTTTATGTATTTTTAATGGTTATCTGAATGTACGTAGTTTCATTTAAATGGGACCTATTATGCCTCTTTTTACAAGATGTAATAGATAGAAGTCTTAGCTATTCACAGAATGTGTCTGAAGTTTCAGCTCATTATTATACAAAGCCCAAAATGACCCTTTTTGGGTGGAAGCAAAAACACACTGTTTTCATGTGTGTCTCTTAAAGGATTACAGTAGTTCACTCAAAAATTAAAATTCTGTCATTTACCAACCTTCATGTTGTTCCAAAGCTGTACGAATTTCCTTTTCTCTGTTGAACACAGAAGATATAAGTTTCTGTTCCCCACTGACTTCCATGGAAGGTGCTCCACCGCTATTGGGTGATTACATGATGACAGAATTTTTATTTTTGGGTGAACTATCCCTTTAAATGCAAATGAGCAGCTGCTGCCCCCCTCTTCCAGAAGTGGGCTGTGCCTTTACATCTCTTGCCTCGGCTCGGCTCAACTTTATTTCTAGAGCACTTTCCAAAACCACAATGGATGCCAAAGTGCTGTAAAAAAAACTTGACATTTTGTTGTAATTGTCCGTTATTTTCTATGTAAACGTGCACCACGGACCTTGTACCATTTACACAGAAACATTTGAAGAGTTCAGATGCAACAGCCTCTAAATGCCATTTGAAATTTTCTTCTTTAATGATGATTTTTATCAAACTTGTATATTTAAGTTCAGTAATTTAACTTGAATAACAATTAATAGGCAATTATCATTGCCATTTAAGTGAAATCACTGAACTTAAATATACAAGCTTGATCAAAATTATCATTCTAGAAGAAAATTTCAAATGGCACTTTGAGGCTTTTGCATCTGAACTCTTCATTTGTAAATATACGAGTAAATATGAGAGTGATTTGCGCGTATAGAGACCTTCCTGAAAACTCTTCTCCTGATTCACAAATACTTCGTCAGCTGTGATAGTGAAATGTGTGTGTGTGTTAATGAATTCCAACCAGTCGTAAATGGGATGCGCGTGCACGTTCATTCTCAATTACCATAAATCCCGCCCATTATATATCCGACTGACATCTATATAATAACATGAATGCGAATGAAAAAGAAAGATTTCTCAGATGCAGAAATTGAAGTTTAATTATCAGAAGTTCATTTAAAACGCCACATTTAATTTTCAAGCGTACATATCAGGTCCTAAAAAAAGGAAGCTTGGCAGCATATTACAGATGCAGTTAATGGAGTTTTTTATGTTAATCGAACAGTTCCAAAGTGAGAAGAAAATAGCTCGACGTAGTAAAAAACGAATTAGTTCAGTTCGGAAAAATCGTATTCAAACTGGAGAAGAACCGCTATCGATCACCAGATCTGCTATTACTGCAACTCATAATAGAAGTAAAAAGAAAAAACGTATGTAATTACTATAGAAAATATTTTTTTCAAAATGCTGTTTAAATATGTACCCGATTAAGGTGAATTAAAATGCAGCGTTATTAATGAGCAAAACGTGTCGATTTCTTGCGTACCAACTAACATTTGGAAAATACGAACATTTTAACGAATCCGAAAATTTACGCCGATTTACGATTTACACACAAATTCGTTCTGCTCGTGTTTCATGAATGAGACCCATTGCGTCTTTGCGTTTAAAAACATAAGAGTAAAATGCAAGGCGTCAAGATGCGTTTTTTTTAAGTTAATCTTCTTTTCACTTGAGCGTTGAGTGTGACGGTCAAACACATCCGTTTAGCGCGTTTGCGTAAAAGCAATGGAAAAGTAAAGTAGCACAGTGGAATGGAAAAATGCATCCTGTGTTCATTGATAAAATGTGTTGATTGTGTTCAAACACCATGTAAAAGTGAATTTTGCATAATAGGTCCCCTTTAAAGTTTATAAAGTGTTTGGCCTGAAACATACTTAATGCAAGGACGCAAATGTTTGACCAATGCTTTGATTCTTTTAAAACTATCGCTCTACTAAGGCTAAATTGCTATGCCTACTTGCATTGTGCAAACAAATGTGGAGCGTTTGCATTTACGCTTTTTATTTGTGTCTTTGCTTACGAGCTGTTCAGAGTAAATGCAGACAGCTGAAGATACATATTAAATTTTGTTAATATTGTTACTTGTGCTACTAACTGTCAAAAAACGTACCTATGTTGGTCTATACAGGTGATCTATAATCTCTCCCTTTCCTTAACAGATATTCATTTCTGCCAAAATATTTCCATCCCTTCCTATTGGCATCAACACGCTGCCTCTCTCTCTCTCTCTCTCTCTCTCGGTTATAAACTGATGATTTATTGTATTTCTCTCTCTTTAGAGTACGACAAGCAGGGATTCGTTACCAAGCTCGACAGAAAACTGTAAGTAACACATTGAGTGTGTAGTTGGGTTCTACATGAGCGTAAGGGGCCGTTGCAAAACCGAGTGAGTTTTCTACATAGGCAGCATTTCTACACACACTCCTAACGAGAAAAGCTGTTAGTAAAATTACGCTGCTATTTAAAATAGCATCACATATTTTGCTAAGGCAATCCCAGAAAGTCTGCTTAAACACAAAATCCATTGGTTTTACTTATAATTCATTAAATACCAAAAAGCAATGAAAAAAATGTTTAGTCTAATTAAAATGGAGTATTTCACCCCAAATTTGTATGAAATGCATTTTTATGCATCTTTTTTTTTATCATAGCCACAGTTCATATGTTTATATTTCAACAACGAATTGGAGTAGAAACATTAGTGTAAAACATGCAATTGAAACACTCAAGTGTTGATTTATTAAATAAATTAAGTTGATTATTAAACCTTAGTTTTGGTGGGGGAAAAAGTGCTTCACTTGTAAATGCTTATGTGTTAAAGGGATAGTTCACTTTGAGATTAATTTTTGGTATGTTTTAGCTTACCTCAAGGGCATCTGAGATGTAGGTGTCTTTGTTTCCGCAGTATTTTCAATGTTGATATTTTTAGGTCAAACCGTTCTTGTGTATCAGTCATATAATGGAGGTCTATGGTCACCACCTCAAAGAGCATGCACAGAGAAGTCCAAATTAAACATGATTTAATGACTCGTAAATGTAAGTACACATTGATGGCCTAAGACACAAAACGAGCGGTTTGTGTGAGAAAACGAACAGTATTTATATCGTTTTTACGCCACAAAGCGCCCGTGCCCTCAGATCACTTGGACGTGGCTGTGATTACAAGAGGTAAAAACGATATAAATACTGTTCGTTTTCTCACACAAAGCGCTCGTTTCGTATCTTAGGCCATCGATGTGTACTTACATTTACGAGTCATTAAATCATGTTTAATTTGGACTTCTCTGTGCATGCTCTTTGAGGTGGTGACCATAGACCTCCATTATATGACTGACAGACAAGAACGGTTTGACCTAAAAATATCAAAATTGAAACTACTGCGGAAAAAAAGAGACATACATTTTGGATGCACTTGAGGCAAGACGTATCAAAAATTAATTTCAAATTGAACTAATGTGGTAATGATGCTTGCATGTTTCATATAATCATTTATGGAGTTGAAGCCTGTGTGTTTTAACATGTGTGAACTCATGAAGATGCACAGAATAGTTGTCTATAAAGAGTGCTCCAAAACATTTCATTTCAGTTGGTTAGGGTGTTGCCTATGTAGGGCAAGGCTGCTCACTGGGTTTTGTAACGGATCTTTAAAGCATGCATGTATGTTTGAGTTCACTTTGGCCTTGACTGTCCAGCAATTTGTCTCTCTTAATAACTTGGCCTGTTGTTTATTTGAGTTTTACTTTGGAAGGATATTTAATGGCGCCCTAAAGCATTTTTTAAAGAATGATGTCTTGGCTCTCATCCAGTCTTGTCTGATTTAACAGTCCTGATTGTGTCTATATGGGAGGTCCGTTTACCCGAAATAAAACATGGCTCGACCTCTCTTATTACCATTAACGCCCACCTGTATAAATGGCACTGTCAACAGGTCATCTTTATGTGTCCAGCGCTCTCGGTATTGATGTAAACGTACTAGAAAGTTTCCATTTGCCGGCCTGTGAATTAGTGGGTTTATACTGGCGCTTATATAAAATAAACTACTCCTCAAACAGGTCGTCGAGCAGCCTTTATCGCCGTACATCCCCTACAGCTGCTTTCCCTTCTCTCCAGACCCCAAAGCATAGAGCGAGATTCGTCTAAGAGTTTCGTTTTACGGATGTTACCAATATGAAGTTAATTCATTCCCAGGAAAATTAATTATCTTCAAATAAATATGATTTGAAATAGGGCTGCACAATTAATCGAATTTGTAATTGCGATTACAATTATGGATGCCACAATTATGTAATCGTTCAAAGGCACAATTATAAAAAGTCCACTTACATTATTCTGTGTACTTAAAATGTTTTTTTCTACAGCTTATCTTAAGGGTTTTTTCCCCATTGTTTTAATTTTAGTTAGTGTAACATTATAATTATAATTAGCATTAAAGCAACACTATCTAACATTGTTTACTTAAAATAATGTTTCCAAAATCTTATCAGTGGTTCATCAAGTCGTAACAGGGTGAAAGGCACTTCTGCCGTCGCCTGACGGGGTCTGTATCGCTTTTACTGGCACTATGTAACTTCGGGGTTCGGGTAGGAACCCGACCACAAAAAGAACTACAAAATTCGACTGCTTTACATCAAGCACTACAATAGCCATTATTGCGTTTTTCTTCGTTTCTGATGTCGCAATACATCATTCTTTCATGAAATCATGTAACATACTCTACCTTGTCTGTGAATATCGTTCATTCTAAAGCCAATGCTGGATAAACAGCGAGCGTGCGTGCGACGGCAGGCTAAATTATTTCACGACAGCAGCAATGGACAATTTCGTTTCCAACCAGTGGGGCGACCGAAGAGGAAAAGTTACTTGGTGTTACTTTAAACCATAGAAAAGCATTGAAAATTTTTCACGAGTTTTCAGCCGTTTTATTTTGATATAACAATTATTTGCATGCTGTCACTTCGAACAATGGCATAAAGCTGTTCAAAACATCATTCAATGTAAATTGTGATAATCGTAATTGATAATCGCAATTATAATTTCAAGGCAATAATCGACAATTATGATTTTTGTTATAATCGTGCAGCCCTACTTTGGAGCATTTTAAATTAATTCCACTGATGTTAAATCAGCTTGCATCCCTCTTTGGAGCTAAATCTGTATTGTGCATATTTTAGATTTCACAAAATCCTGTTTTTGATAACTAGGTCCAGTTAAGATTTTTCCACTATAATTTTATAAAGTTTGGGGACTTTAAAAAGATTTTGAATGTTTTTGAAAAACATTGATCAAAAATACAGTCAAAACAATAATATTGTACAGTATAGTATTATTAAAATTTAAAATAACTTAAATCATGCTGATTTAAACTTGTGGTGCTTCATTATTTTTTTTTTTTAATAGAAAGTCTTTACTATCATTTTTGATCAATGTAAAGCACCCTTGCTGAATAAAAACATTATTATTATTTTATTTTTTTAATCGTGAGGCCCTAAAGTACTTGTTGGGAAATACAACCCTCCTGTCACTGTGAATATTTTGATGGCCACAGAAATATTTGGACACTTAAGTCACGCATTTATTGTGATTGAAGACAATTCACAAAAGAAAGTTTGTTAGATTTAAAGTGGCAAAGCATTGTAGTGTTGAAAATGAAGACGGAACGGGTTCATAGTAAATGTGATTAACTACACATGTGGTGGTCACTGTGCAAAAACATCTGTTGGTTGGTCTTGTGCAACATTTCGTTGCAATTGCCACTTTTTTGTGACGTTGTGCATTGTGATTATCCAATGACATGGGGTCCAAATATTTTTGGGGACACCATAAACCTGATCCTAAAGGTTCAAGGATTTGCTGTTTTATCCTCTTATCTTGTCCTTTGCATTGAAGTTGTTCTTCTGTTGGTTCACAGGCCCCTGGAGCTGCAGTATAAATATGGTAACCTCAGTAAAGGAGAGTGTAAACCGGGTTATACAGAGGCCAAGATGACTTTAATATATCCAAAGTAAGCTGATCTCACCATACATTATGAAAAACAGGAAGCTGACAATATCAGATCTTAGTATTATGCAGACACGCACCTCATTCTTCTGCTATTAACAAAATAGTTTAGACTTAGATGGAACATGGAAGTGAAAAGAGTCCATTTGATTTCATGTTGACCTTTCGGAGCAATTGCAAGATTTCTTTATTGGTTCTGCACTGGCAATGCTGGTCAGTTACTGGTTTTTGTTGCAGATAAACCATTAAATCATCTTGAAAGACAAAACAGTTCTACTGGTAACCAGTGATGCAATTGGCATTTCTGGTTGTAGCCCTTAAACTGTATTCACTTTATAGCCCTTAGTCCTGTAATTGTGGACAAATGTGGGCACAGAGGACTCAGGTGTGATCCTTATTTTTATTTATTATAAATGTTATATCACTGTCTTCGATAAAGTTTTGTCTAACCATTTATGGTGTTTAGTTTTTATTTTGGGTGTATTTTTGAATTTATTTACTTCAAAAAGTACCATATTTTCTATGTAAATGAATTGCTATGTAGTTTTATTTCTTTATTTTTTTTTAACTACATTAAAATATCATTCCAATAAGTTCTTAGAGCTAAAACCTAAAGATGAAGTGACTTTGCTGTCACCTGGTGTCTTATTTTGGCTTATTTTAGAATGCTCTAAATTACAGTTTTCCCCATTCATTTCTATGGGTGCCCATTTTTGACCCAAATACAAGATTAAGGAGGTTTTTTTCACCCACTTAACATTGTAAAATTGAGTCAAAAAAAAAATTGTGTGTGTTCAGGAGCCAAGTCTTGTACCGCTCAGATCAAGGGAAGTATTTTTTTAAAAATAAATCCAAACTATTTTGCCCACATTTGTCCAGAATACGGTTTTAGGGTTAACCAGCTTTTCAAGAGTGAGAACAAAGAAAGACACTTATCATGTTTTGTGTGTGTGTTAGACTAGTCCTTTCTTTTTATAAGCATTACTGCATTTGTGTTGTGTAGTTTGTTTTAAACCCATTACACAGTGAGGATGTTTTGCCATGCAATGCTCTTGGGAGGAGCTCAGAGTGGCATAAATGAAATATTTCATTCGCTTTTAAATAATTGAGTGTTTGAGAAGATTCCCCACAGTGAATGCTCTTTATGTGTTGATTTAAGGCATATTTCACTCCACAGAGCGCATCACTAGCATCGGGATCTTTTTTTGGGTGTGTTGTGTTCCTCTGGGTTCCCAGTGCGTGAGAGAGCCGCGCTTCTGATTCACACGACTGACACGCAAAGCTTTCGTTTTGCCGCAAGAACCTCTGAGATATTATAAACCACAGGTTATGGATCATCAGAATCCTTCCTGCCATTGAGGTTGGATTTGAGAGCATAAGAACGAAGTGTAGTGGTGATGGCGCAGTGGATAAGACACATGCCTTTGGTGTGAGAAACCAGGGTTTGAATCCACTGTGAGACACCAATGTGTCCCTGAGCAAGACACTTATGATGCATTGTCTTATAGCCATCGAATCGACTCGGACCTCGGATATGACGTCACGTCCACACTTCAAGCGTTCTATTATGTTTTGCGCGTCCGAGTCGGAGAAAAAAATGGACGCCACCCGGAAAGCTGTTGTAATGGTAGCACTGGCCGAGTACCAGGCACTTACATTAAAAAAAATATATTATGACTACACCTTATCAAAACGCAGCCATTTGGACTTGAAAATGTTCACTTTATTTTATGTTTTTCATGTTAATCTTGTTAGCAATGCTAGCAACGTTAGTAATTGAACTTACAACAACCGATTGACGCAGTAATACGAGTGAATATAATCGTCATTTAAAATACCAAAGCGGTTCAAAAACAATTCATACTTACTAAAGCCCGACCGATAAATGATTTTGATTTTTGAAGGCCGATACCGATACAAATATTTTTTGTATATATTCCGATATATCGCCGATATTTTTTTTTTATTAAATATTGTTGGATTTCACACACGTGTAAAAGAAAAGCTAACTTTTCTGCACAAGATATGTTTGAAACTTTTTCTCTGTCTAAATGTTCACTCCTCGCAAGTATGACTTACATTTTACAATGCAGGGGCTGTAACTAGAGATATGCGAGTTATAAATACAGTAATAATTACTTTATTTAGGCAGAAAAAGTTAATTGTGGTTTCCAAGCTCATTAATGTTAACGTTAGCAGTCTTCCACTGATAATAGTGGCATTAGCTAGCTTTGTGGTTAGCTAGTCTATGATGAGCCATAATTTAGCAATAGATAACATCATACTGCAAATTGTAAAACATACATTTTCAATATAACAGGCCAAGGAGAGATAATTGAAGGGTGTTTCGTCCATTTTTATTTTATTTTTTAAATATTCATTTATCGGCCATTATGACTGCTGATACCGATATTTTGGAAAATGCCTAATATCGGCCGATAATATCGGTCTGGCTCTAATACTTACAATCAAACAGGGCGCAGCCATCTTGAATTCCGAAACGGAATTCTTGCTCAGTGTCCTCACGGTTGTCCGACGTCCGAGAGGAGAAATCTGAGGAAAGGTGGCGTGTTGCTAGGCAACGTCTGTCTTCCGATTCGGATCTCCGAGACGAAAAATTATGATGGATTATGACAGTGATTACTTAAGGGTGTTTATTTTGTAAAATATTGGACAATTTTTTCAATATTTTGGTTGTAAGAGTACATATTTTATCTCCATCATCTTTTGGAATGAGACGCATGCAAGGGTAAAGCATAGACATTTCAAAATAAGAGTCCATGTGAATCTCAAGCTTGGTTATAAATAAAAGTCCTGCAAGTTTTCTTATTTATTTGCCTGCCGGTCACTGGAGGGAAAGGCTCCTGAACGTTATTGAACACATTATTTATTAATCAGCTTATTAAAGTTTATATACCTCAAAAAATAGAAATATTTTGCTTGTAAATATCTCCTTTAAATAAGGACAAACACATTATTTGACACATATTCATTGCGCTCCTGAAGTTTTCAACTAAACATCAAGCCCCGAAGAAACACTTTCCGTCTGCTTTGTTGTTTGTTGTGAGCTGCGTCTGAATAAGATGAAACGCCTGTTCATTTTCAACATTAGTTCTGTGAAAATATGACCCATAAATATTGCTTTTATGGCTTGAATAGTTTAGGCATTTTGTATGCATTAATCCTGATACTAATGAAGGGTTCGCTAACTTTTCTCACAAGCGTTCGCTTTGGAAGTTGTAGCCGGTGAGAAACAGCGGCAGTGTGTGTCACCTTCACTTAGGCGGCTGGGATGTGAAGAAGCGCAGAGTGTTGTGGTCATGGGAACTGGAATACAGAGCACCACCTGTGTCATTAGTGCATTACACCAGGGGTCGAGCAGCTGCGAACGACGTGACACAAGTGTTCAGGTGTTGTTCTGTCAGCCAGTGAAATGTTCAGCGTAGTTTTGGGCTGTGGATAGTTGTATCAGGTGGACGATGTTGACCAAAATCTGGTTTCTCCATGAAACACAGCTCATGTCTGGAGCGAGATTAGCTGTAAATGATTGATTGTGTAACATGTCAGGTGTTGGTGTTGCTATATAATATCGCACAGAAATATAAAGACAAGAAAAAAAAAGACCTGTTATAGTCTGTTGGTCGCAGTTTTTCTTGTATTCCTTCTATATTCTCTTCTAAAATGTTGTTTATATTAGGGAACTGTAATGCTTTAATGTAAGTGTTCTTCCATAAAATTTTCAGGAGACATTCATGGAGTCAACAAAGGGTCGGTTTATTGACTGTAACACTTAAGTACTGACACACATTGTGCAAAACAAAGAAAGAAAATATAAGACTGACTAATAAATGGGACATCAGCACATTACAGTTCTGGGTCTCAGATGTTTCTCAGGCATCGCTCACCAGAACGAACTCAGCCCTTTTAACAAAACCAAACCAAACCATTTTATAAATTACAGTGGTCTTACAAAATTCCCATTTTCTTACATCAAGCACAAAAAGGGAAATGTATATAAATACACAAACTCGAATAAACAAATCACATTTACCATGAAACAATAATGCAAATACACTTAAATATACACACACAAACACATTCGAATTAACACACGACCCTAAACCATATTGTCCCCAAAAACTACAATTCCCATAATTCCCCATCGGATACATGAAGGACACCAGGAAAGGCCACACCCTTTTCAATTACAAACCTTTGTGCTGTAGTCATGGATCCCGGCGGAATGATGTACAAACAAACTTAAATAAAACATTTAACCCATATTTTGGTTGTGGTTTCATTTACTCTAGCGTGCACTCTAGCCCTCTGATTATCTTCCTTTGTGTCTACACCCATTATCTTTGGGGTCTCCAGGGGGGACCCCAGACAATAACATTTAATTTTGTACAGAATAATATATATTATATAATATATAAACAGAATAATATATATATATATATATATATATATATATATATATATATATATATATATATATATATATATGAAGAGTTCAGATGCAAAAGCCTCTAAATGCCATTTGAAATTTTCTTCTTTAATGATGATTTTTATCAAACTTGTATATTTAAGTTCAGTAAATTCACTTAAATGGCAATGATAATTACCTATTAATTGTTATTTAAGTGAAATTACTGAACTTAAATATACAAGTTTGATAAAAATCATCATTAAAGAAGAAAATTTCAAATGGCATTTAGAGGCTTTTGCATCTGAACTCTTCATATATATATATATATATTTACAAAAGTAATTTTAGTCTGTTTATTAATGTTTTTACTCAACATTTGTGCAGTTTTTGAAGGATTTTTGATATCTTAAATTTCTATAAATAAATAAATATTTATTTAAATAGGCTTTTTTTTTTTTTTTTTATTTTTTTACAAAAAACAGCATTTTATATCAAATTTACTTTATAAAAGACCCAGCTTTCTAACTTTCATTTATGGGAAATATATAACATGGATCATTTTAAATGATTTAATGTAAGATTTTTGCCCATTTGTTTTTGGAAAATGCAGTTTTGAAATAAATAAAAAAACTCACTTTCACCACTAGATGGCCATAGACCTCCACCATAAGCTATTTGTTATGATTAACCAAACTACATATCTTTTCACAAGTTTTTCCAGCTGGATTCGATTCACATCTAAATATTATAAAATCACAATTAACACACACACAAAAAAAACTTTTGTCAAAGTTTAGCATTTTTTGTACTGACAAATGTTTTTCAATTATGTTACATTATACTTAGAATCCAAACCTGAGGAAGACTCCAAATGTTGGAGTCTTTAGATTTTATAATTTATTTCAATCATCTGTTTTTAATATAATTTTACAATTTTAATTCTACAATTTTACTCGAAGATAACAAGTGTCTGCATTTTTTTCACGCTAACATAAAAACAGATAATCGTTCCAATATATATATTTTTTGGTAGATTTAGACAGTGTTAAGAGGCGTAGAAGTTTTCACACCATTTGGACTAAGAGAACATTTTTTTTAAATTGACAAATTAATTTGCGGGTCAAATTCAACTGAAATGTTCAATCACGTGTGGCCTAGCCATTGAATAACCTGTATATTGTATAGGTAACTACTTTTCCAAAAGTGTATCTTGACTGTAGTCTAACGTCTGTAGATGATGAGTATCTTGGCGAGCTCAGCTCCTTATAAGTCTCGGCTTGTTTTGAGAAAAGGTCAAGTTTAGGCTGGACTTCTTCAGACATTCCAGTGCTCATCTCTTACGAGCTGATAAACACACTGGTAGCCGGTGGATTATGGGTTATGCGAGCCGTCTAATCCTATCAAATATTCCCCCGGTTATCGGTATCGCACCCGTTTTCTCATGTGGGCTGTGGAGTGATTAGTGTGAGACTCGTGCTTGTTTTAACTTGTTTTCTCTCTCTTTGTCTTTTACTTGTTCTTTTAGGTTTTTAAAACCAGTTCCCATGTTCCTTGATCCGAATTTTAAGCGGCTATCAAAGATCAGCATTTACCCTCCCCCTTTTGGAGTGAGAACACAAGGTATTTCTTTCTTTGTTTAAAATCAGTTTTTATGATGATAAGGGTTATGACGATGATCCTTGATTTATCAGGATGTCTTTTACACTCCTGCTGTTCATCGTCGTTCTGAACTTGAAGCCGTCTATTACATTGTGGTTTAGTCCTGTCTTCAGTGTCACATGATCCTTCAGATCCTTCATTTGATACTCGATAATTAGATATCTTTATCAATGTTAAAGGGCACCTATTATGCCCCTTTTTACAAGATGTAATATTGGTCTCAGCTGTCCCCAGAATGTATTTGTGAAGTTTCAGCTCAAAATACCCCACAGTTAATTTATTTTAACCATTTGAAAATGAAATTTTTGGGGCCTGTTTTAAAAACAGCTGTTTTGGTGTATACCACCTTAAATGCAAATGAGCTGCATATCCCCGCCCTGCCTGTGGGTGAGGGCGTCACTTGCAGACCTATGGCAGTCGGTGTAAGCAGAAGGGCTGAGAGAGTGAGAGAAAGCGCTGTTTTGTATGTCATTCAGCCGTACACGTTTGAATCGGAATATATAAATAGTCTCTGATCAGACCCAGATGACGAAGAGACTCCGGCAGAATAAACACAATAAACAATAAATTACATTGTAAAATGTTTTCAAAAATTGTAATAATATCCCCCAATATTATTTCTATATTTGTTGAGGATAAGAGATGAACAGCATTAAAAGGTCTTAATTTTTCCCAACCTTTGACTGGTAGTTTATGTTCAGTCCAGATTAATTCATATAGCTTTACAAACAAATGTCTGTATTTTCATGTAGATTAACATTTGCACATGACTTACAAATGAGAAAAAATAAATATTAGGGAGATGTTAAACTAATGTCCACATAACTAGTCACCAGAGGCTCTTTTAAGGTGGAAGCCATCTATTCAATCACGGTTCCTTACAGACGTTTAAAGCAGAAACCTCTCCACTGGCCTTCATTCATCTCTGGCCTTGAGGGTTTGTGTGTAATTACCTTCCAGCCTGATTAAATCACAAATGTGCTCGTTAGTGACGAGTTTTCCTCAGTTTATTTGCTTTGGCAGATGGTGTGAGATGTTCAGAGCAAAACTGTCAGCGTCTCTTCATCCCTTCTGCTGACATTTCTCAAGCCGTGTCTTTCAGCAGAAACGTGTGTGTGTGTGTGTATCTAATGTATTAAATACTTAAAAATACTGCTCATTCCTTTGAACAGACTCCTTAAACTTGTTGTGCTGCCGACATGAATGATGCGCTAAATAGCATGGCTTTTTAAGGCAAGGTGTACTGTTACTTTTCCAAGTGATCTAGGCAGGCGGACTAATAAAAGGATCTACAAATGACGTGGATCAGTGGTTTTGTTGTTGTGGACTTGACATTCAAAACCTGTTCTATTATCTTTAGCATAAGGAGCTTGTTTCCCAGTGGAAAGCCTGTCGGTTTGACTAAAAATAACACAATGGATTGTGCGAAAGATAAATGGCTTTTTAAACGTAGGGTTTTTCCTCATTCCTGAGTGTGTGATGTAGGATCTTTCCCAGGAGGCTACAGCATTGTTCTTGTTAGCGTGAGACTGCTGCTTTTGAGATGTCCCTTCAAATCACGTAGATCTTCAACCCTAAATAGCATGTATGACTAGATTAATATTGTCTTAAAGGGATAGTTTACTTTGGAATTAATGTTTGGTATGTTTTAGCTTACCTCAGCGCATCCAAGATGTAGGTGTCTTTGTTTCCGCAGTAGTTTCAATTTTGATATTTTTAGGTCAAACCGTTCTTGTCTTTCAGTCATATAATGGAGGTCTATGGTTGCAAAGAAAAGTCCAAATTAAACATGATTTAATGATTCGTAAATGTAAGTATTCATGGCCTAAGACACGAAACAAGCGGTTTGTGTGAGAAAACCAACAGTATTTATGTCGTTTTTACCTCTTGTTACCTCTTGCGGCCTCAAATCACTTGGATGTGGCTGTGGGTGACTGACAGACAAGAATGGTTTGACCTAAAAATATCAAAATTGAAACTACTGCGGAAACAAAGACACCTACATCTTTCCCTTTAAATAATACCACATAAATAGGGTGACCACCCGTCCCGCTATTGTGCCAATAGCTCACTGCTTGCAATTTGTTTTTGTTTTTAAACATTAGGACTACTGCAATTCACCTAAAGGTTTTTTTTTTTTCATGTTCTTAGTAACCAGCCTGACTTATTACAGGTGAAACTGTGCCAATACCTTCCTGTACTTCTGCAGTTCACCAAATGGTTTTTCTTTTTCAAATTATTTTATAATAAATTGTAAGTTTTAACCACTTGGTGGAATTGCCAGATGTTCTCTTAGGGATCATGCGCTGTGGTGGCGCGTCAAATTATTCTCAAATATAAATACGCAGCTATAATTCATGTAGGTGACTTTGAAGTATATTTTATGTCGCTATACAATGGTTACGTACTGTTAAACTAGGCTAATCGTGGTATTGGTATATTAAGTCTACCGACTATAGAGCAATGGCAAGGAAAACCAACTTTAACGCGCTCCGATAGCCCTCTAGTGGTCAGAGCATTTCCGTTGTGCTGCGGCTTTATTTCGTTGTGTTGCAGTCGCAGATTTTCCGCTGTGTTGTGGCTCATTTCCGTTGTGTTGTGAATTTGTGTTTGCTTTTTACATTTTGTTGTGTTGTGCACTACTGGGTCACTGTATGTAATAACTTTTTCATGACAGACGTATTCAAAATATACATTAAATAAGGAACATAAGTCTAACAGGTTAAGTCAAAATATGATGTATATGTACAGTGCTGCATATGCTTTTCTATGGTTAATGTTTTTTCAGTTTGTAGTCATTGAATGGCTTTTCTGTGGTAAATGTAACATTACATGACCATATTGTTCTCAAGCCGTTTTATGAACATCTTTCCGCGGTTGAGGCACTTGAGCAGTTACATGAGACGAGATCTTTTAACCTTCCTTCTGTTCATTCATCTTTAATTAGTTCTGTAATAGAGGAAATGGGATGATCGGTATACGCTTGAGACGCTGTGTCGCTTGATAAGAGCACCAAAGCTACATTTATCCTATTGTTTGAATTGTATATTAAAATTGAAGGAATTTTAAACTTGAGACAGGCTTTTTCACATTAAAGCAGCACTATGCAGTTTTATTACCTTAACTGAATAGCTTCGGACTCTGAGTTATTGCAATGGTTATATGACTACTTCCGGGTTGAATGTTGGGCGTCTCACAGTGCATGGCTACGTCACAGCGTGTGACAAAGATTTTAAACCCGGAAGACGATAAAAGCGGAAAAAACTCTTTTTAACCCTACTATTAAACCTAACAGATGATAACATTGTCTTCAATGGTGTTCAACACACATACACTCTTAGAAGAAAAGGTTCTATATAGAACCTTAAAAGGTTCTATCAGTGCTACGTATTTGGAACCCCTAAAAGGTTCTATACACTCTTAAAAAAGGGTTCCTCTGGGTTCTATATAGAACCCTGGGGTTCCATACTTGGCCAATAGAACCTTTTACAAAAAAAATTGGTTCTATATAGAACCATTTTGGAGTTCCATATATGAAGCGGGGGATGGAACCATTTCTGGTTCTAAATAGAACCATTTCTTCTAAGAGTGTACCTCTGTTAAAATCTCAGAAAATTTGGTTTATCAAATGATATGCACAAAATAAAATTCAGTCAAAGCGTGCCACCGGAGAAGCTCTACTAAACCTCACTGATTTCGGTTCTCCAAAACCATTTCGGGCGAAAAATAAAATTACCGTTTTGGCTGGTAATGATATAGGCCTATGCATTCACGGTAAAGAAAATAGACTCGACTTATTGGCTTTTTAGGGCGTCCGACAGTCAAGCTGACCATCAGCAGATCTGGCAACTCTGTTTGTGCAAAATAATAATAATAAGTGTCTCAGACCAAGCCTAAAGACTGCTAATTTTATTTGAGCCATTTGTCTGCATCAACTACACACACATCGGCTATTACAGTAACTCATAGTGCTTCAAAGCCTCCTTTTTTATATAATTTAGCACTATTTTCTATGATCTTCTGCTTTTTTGGGGTTTTACTTGCATATTTTATTTTCAATTGAGTTTAGTTGTATAAAAGTAAATGGCTACTGTTAAATAGGTGAATCTGCGACGTGTTATTTCTCTGTCATTTGGCACAGCTCTTGATGATTTTTTATAGTCTTTCTATCTAAATGAGTTAATATCTGTGATCTCTGTCCCCAGAAAAGATCATCGATCATATTTTATCAGCTACGAATAGCTATTCGCTGGGTTCAGAACTAGACAGGTAATAAACTTCCACATAAACACCAAAACACAACAGCACACACTCCTTTTTTTCTATTACATGATCTATCCACCAAACACGTCATTACATGATATACAATATCTTGTATATTAACACTTTCTGTTTTCATGCCTTCAACTTGTAATACTGTAGAGTTGATCAGTTGCTATAATCGTGTTTTGTATTTTTCTCTTCCAGTCTTAGTTGTAAGAAGTGTATTATTATTGGCAATGGAGGCATTCTGTTCAATAAGTCCTTGGGCTCCAAAATTGATCAATATGATGTTGTTGTACGGTAAGTTATTTTTGCCTTTCACCACTTGATATTTGGCATATTAACAGAAAGCAGTTGTCGTTTCAGAAGGATAACAAGTTAATATTGTAATGTAAATAAGCATTAACATTTAATAATGTTCACTGATGGATTTCATGTTGGTATTTGTCCTCATGGTTCAGACTGAACGAGGCTCCAGTCGCCGGGTTCGAGAAGGACGTGGGCCAGAAGACCACCATGCGCATCACCTACCCTGAAGGAGCCATCCAGAAGCCGGAGCGCTACGAGAAGAGCTCGCTTTTCGTCTTCTCCGCCTTCAAACCCATGGACTTCAAATGGCTGCGTCACATGGTGTACCAGGACAAGCTTGTAAGATGCACTTTCTACATGAACTAGTTCAAAGATCAGTTCTCACATTTAAAAATGAACTAGTTCAGTTCATAGTTCAAAATGAACTAGGTCATAGTTTGTTTGTTTTTTTGCCATAGCCCATATACAATCTCAGTCAATTATTTTATCAACGGGTTTTTATCAAAGTTTGCACAGAAATAAGATTTTTCCTATCCTCACCGACCTCGTCATAACCCGTTTAAATGATCATACGACGCCTCATCACTCGCTGCTTTGTTGATGGTGGCCGCGGTGTGACACTGGTGTCTTGTGTTGCCAGATTGGGTGTTTTTTTGCTACATATTAAGGCCTGTTTACGTGTGTTTTTTTAGCCGGGTTATCGCCTGGAAGGCAACCTATTGTACCAAGTTAAACTAAGAGAGCGTGCGTTCACAGACACCAGAATGAACGAGTTCACAGTAACGTTCATCCGGCAGTAATACAGTACGTTCAGTTCACGTTCACCCAAAAAATGAACACAACACTGGACATGCAAAACCTTGACCACTCATACACTACATGGCCAACAAGCTCACAAACAAAATTGCATTCTCTATGCATGTATTTCAAATATCGTGACTAATTTGGTTCATTTGCATCCGTATTCTCAGTTCCATTTATAACATGTTTAAGTCTATTCCACAGTTTTTCTTTAAAATAGCTCAGAAAACGGGAAAAAAAAGAAAAAACAAATCGGTCATGAATTCTGTTAAAAAAATCAGTCATGCATATTTTAAAATAGGATTATTAGATGTATGTACCAGTAGGGGGCAGCACAGTCTGTGCTCTACACACTGATATTAAATTAAAGTGACAGGGATCAAAAAACAAGACTTTTTTTTTTTTTTTACTTTTTCAAAAGGTTTTTTGCTGGTCCAGTTGTTGTTTTTTGATCCCTGTCACTTTAATTTAATATTAGTGTACAGAACACACACCGTGCTGCCACACCAAAATAGACTGAGCATTTTTTTTTATTTTTAGCTGCATATTTTTAATCTTTAAACACCAAAAACACTAAAACATATTTGTTTGTTTTTTTTGTTCAGTTATTTATTACAAATAAAAACAAGCTGCAAATTATACAGCTATAACGTAACTATTAGGCAAGGCATGTTTATTTATATAGCACATTTCATACAATGGAAATTCAAAGTGCTTTACATAGAAGGAATTAAAACAATCAATTCAAATAAGAATAATTAAAACAGTTTAGAGTAAAAATAAAATAAAGTAATACCCCTATCTGAGATAAATATCAAGCATCAAGGGATGAAGTTGTTTTTACAGTCATCTTTGCAGTTTTGCTCTGTTTATAACGTTATCTTGTTGACGAGTCGGCAGAATGTGTCATTACAATGTATGGGAGACGGATGGATTTACAAGATTGATGAGTGTAAAATTCGCTGAATCCAATCTAAGACTAAGTTTAAAAGCACAGGTAGGCATGAAACGGCATTGGCGTTGTGGTGAGTGAGTAGCGGCGGATGAGGCTTTGTGTTTCGTGCAGCTGTGTGTGGGACGGCCAGTGTAGCGTTTCCTCAGGTGATTGGCAGGAACTCAATGATGTGCTTAATTGTGTAATCCGGGCTGCAGAATGGGCACCTTGTCTCCTAGGTCTGGGTTCAGTCAAGCAGCTCTTTCTCTGCGTTATCTCCAGAATGCTAATGAAATGGGCCGGCGCACACATCTGGTCTCTGTTCTGCTTGAACCTTCTACCATGATGAAAGCTGACTAGTCCTCTCAGCTCAAGGACGTATCCGCATTATTTGGATCCCCGGGTCACAGCGCTGTGATAAGTCACCAAGGTCGTCGGGAGTTGCTTGTAATATTTCTGTTGCCACACTTTTAGCACTGGCTAATTTTCAGTGAATCTCGCTGGTTGTGGGAGATCAGTTCTGTGTTTGACTGTATCTGATGGGGTTTATAGGGGCTGGGGTTTGTTGATGTGTCTTTAGAAAGTCTCCTTAGAGTACCTTTTCCCATGGGCCGCAGCTTGATTTACTCTTTCTCTAAAAACCCAGATAACGTGCCTTCTACATCCATTAGAATTCCCACCGCCAGCCAAAAAGCCATTAGGACTGAGAGAGAGTTGTAGGATCTGAGAAGAGCGAGAAATGAAGAGCGAGTGCGAAGTGAAAGGGGTCCTGAAAAAGATATAATATTATGGCTTAAATGAAAGAAAGAAAGCAAAAAGATCCTGAAGACTTAAAGTCTTGGTTGTCACCAAAAAAAATGGCAGATATTTCTTAACCCCTTTACTGTCACCGTCCCGATACCGGGACGCCTAACTTCTCTATATTTCTATTCAATCCTAATCTAATTATGACAAATTATATATCGTTAGAAAGGTCTAAGACTTCTAAATAGATATTCTACCCCTGTTTTGTATTACAAATTATGTAGGAAGAGTAATTGATGAATTTATGACAAGAGTCCACCTTAAAAAAATCTGCATCATAACAGGAGTTCTGACATTTGTCACAGAACGTCGATGCACCCACTTTTAATCATTGAAACCTCTGTTTTTATGCTAAAAGTTCACAATAAAACGTATAATCTAGTATTTTTAAATAAAAAATTATAGTATAATATTATCCTCTAAAAATATAATATTATTCTTTATCGCCTTTTTTATTATATCACTTATTTTAGTAGTTATCATAAATTGGGTATCATTTGAAAGCTTATAAATTCATCCTAATTGAACAACGGTACTTATTTTGTCAGGCTCCTCCCCTTTTGGGCATCATTATATTTCTTAATTTATGATCAAAACCTTTTCTAATCTTGACAAAACGCATATTGTCAGAAAGGTCTTAGTCTCAAGGTTCCACATTTTGTGACAGAAGTGATATTTTGGACTGAAATTTATAATTTGTTAAGGCAGAATGTATACAACTAAATTCAATGGAATTCAATGGCACCCGGTGGCTATTTTTGGTACTACGCCTAAACAAATTCTCATAGGAACTTCATTTTTTGTGAAATCAACTTCAAATTTGGAACAATATATTTGATTTACTATAAATTTAAACTTGCATAACTGTTTCATTCTTTAATTTTTTGACGTGTTTCTGCTTGTGGGTGTGACAGCTATAAGGCTTCTCCGAGATAGAGACATAGCATCTCATGACTTTTCCTTTCCTCAGTAAGTGCACGCTTTTTTCTTACATTTTTCCGTAAGAATCTGTCATTAACTGATTTACACTACTGTCCAAAATAAATTTGGGATTTCTAAATATTTTAATTTTTTGTTTAAAAGTCCTGCATGTATTTGATCAAAAATACAATAAAAACAGTAATATTGTGCAAAATGATTACTGTTAAAAAAAAAGTTTTTTTTTTTTTTTTACTAATTTATTCCTGTGATCAAATCTGATTTTTAGCATCATTACTCCAGTCTTCAGAGTCACGTGATCCTTCAGAAATTATTCGAATATGATGATTTGCAGCTCAAGAAATATTTCCAATTATTATCAATGTTGAAAACATTTTATACTGTTTATACTGTTTATAACGTTTTAAGCTCTACGAAAAACTTTTAATGGTACAAATGTCTTTTTAAAAATTGTACTGACCCCAAACTTTTGAACAGTAGTGTACCACTACATTTAATAAGTGTGTAAACTACAATTTTTTCGGTGTAAATGCTGCTTCCGACTGCAGTGTAAAGACCACTGAAGAAGACTAAATATTCATCTATTATGCTTGTACATTTTAAACAAGGAATTTACTACAGTAACTATGATTTATTTATTTATTTTTTGGAAACTATTTACCATTTTATATTTTGGGGTATTTTGTGAAAACACATTGAATTTTAGTTTTTTTTAGTTTTTTTAATTTGCATTAAACAGTCTTAAAAGGGTTTTACGTTTCATCCTCTGATTGTTTCAAGATAAATTGTTTCATGCCATAGCGTGCGTTTTAAGGAGCTCCATTACCTTTAACTGCCAAAACAGTGATTTACTGAACAAACTGAACAATAAATGAACCAATTTAAGTCGAATTTGAGTAATTTTGCTTAATGATAAACAGACTTAAACCGAAAACGTCCAGTGAAATGAATTCTTTAGATAATTGTTTTGAGTTTAAGGTCTCTTCCACTTCGAGAGCATTATCTGTCAGTGACCCGTCCATGTGAAGCATTGCTTCTCGTCCTTCTGCATGCTACAATCACGGCTCTAATTTACACATGAAATTGAGTGGAACGTGTTAATTCGGGGAAGGTTTTGAAGTGTGCAGTCCGTCTTGTAGATATTCCTCCGTTCAAAACATTCAGTCGGGAATACTGATGAGGATAATTGAGAGGTCATTGTGTGTGTTTATTGGCTGTAATTTTAGCTTGTGTTTCTTTGACTTGAATCTTTGTTGATTTGAAATTAAATTACAGCTAAGTCTTCTGAAAGCAAAAGAACGGCCAAGATATCTTGTCGTAAATGATGCATCAGAACAGCTAAATCATCGGTAGTCTTTGCGTGGCCGTTTTAGACTAATGCCACCATATGTGAGACGTTAGCCCAGCCGAAGGTCTGCCGGGTTGTGTCAGCTGTCCTAGTTGTGGATGGGTTGTAGTTGCTGTCTAGGGGTCAGTAAACTAACCGCTGTTGTTTCCACTGTTAGTGTAATAAGTCGAAGAGAAGAGGGACCTTGAAAGAACATTTCACGAGAAGAATAAAAAAGTAAAAAATTGAGAAGAAAATACTGATTCAGAGAAGATAATTGTCAAGATCATTTAATGTGACTCAAATTTAAAGGGGTAGTTCACTTTGAAATTAATGTTTGGTATGTTTTAGCTTACCTCAAGGGCATCCAAGATGTAGGTGTCTTTGTTTCGGAAGTAGTTTAAATGTTGATATTTTTAGGTCAAACCGTTCATATAATGGAGGTCTATGGTCACCACCTCAAAGAGCATGCACAGAGAAGTCCAAATTAAACATGATTTAATGATTCGTAAATGTAAGTACACATTGATGGCC